TAATCAGGATTCACTTACAAAAAATACGTTGAAAATGAGGTCGTCCTGGACACGTGAATATCGTACATTTTAACTTTAAGTTTTTGATGAGTTATGTTGAGCAAATGTAAATTCGTTTTAATCAAACACTCCTTTTTAGGTTATTTTGGAGATAATAGGAGCGCGAAGGGGGTAAATTGGCATATGTACAAGTAAAATTGGAACAATCTTGTGAGGACAGATGAAGAAGCCCCAAAGGATCAAAACAAGAGTAAACAAGACCGTGAGAAAGAAAATGAAATTTTGCCAGTAAAAGGCACTCACAAGTCATCATCATCATCATCAACAGCCTATAACAGTCCACTGCTGGACATAGGCCTCTCCTTAGAAAGGAGGTTTACAAGCCAGAAATTAAAATCAAATCAGATAGAAACCTAAGTTGCCATTACCTTTGAAGAGGCTAATTAGTAATTCCTGCCTAGACAATAGCCAAAGAAGCAACTCAGCTCGTCCGAGATAGAAGGCTGAATTTTTAGACACGGAAGCAATTTTGAAAATTTTTGATGAAGAAGAATGGGAAAAAAGAATATTTAAGTTTTTTTCTTGTTACTTACCAGATTATTTTTTATTCGTTCACGTTCTCTAAGCTAAACGGGTCTTGCTGATTTTGATTTAGGTGTCATGAGATTTTTCTTAATTGTGTGACACTGGGTAAATAAAAATTATGAACATTGGAATCGCAGGTTTGTAAATTTTAAAGTACCAATACACTTTTACACAGTTGTTTTTTTTTTATTGAATAATTCGATTTTTTTAAATACTTATGTAGAGAATCGTCAATCAATATATATATTTAGAAGACTTTCCAAGGTATGTAGGAAAAAGAAGTACAAAAGTTAACGTCAACGACCATGTTAAATTACGATTATCTATAGACGGTATCCTTACTTGCCACCTTAGTCATATAAAAAACCATCCCCAGTCCGGTGTGGCTCACTTAACGGTGTCACACTGCGTATGACTCAGTGGCTCACTAAGTAAGGAAGTAGTGGTCTGTTCAGTTAATGCGCCTCTTTTACTCTGTAAGCGGGTTAATGACACATATTAGCGTCATCGCGAAAATTACGATTCGCAGACATCATTCGCTATTTATATATTGATATCTAATATATAAAATTCTCGTGTCACGGTGTGCGTGGTTGAACTACTCCACAGATTTTCGTGAATTTTTGTGTGCATAGGGTAGGTCTGAGAATCGGCCAACATCTATTTTTCATACACCTAATTTTTTTTTTGACAATTTTTTTTTTAAATAATGTATATGGCAAAACAACGTTTGCCGGGTCAGCTAGTATTATTTATATATGTGTATATTTATTTACATGTTCTTTTAAAAAAAATACTTACTAATAAGTAATGTTGTACTAGCGTGTAGGTACTTCTTATTTTTTTTAAGATATATAGTTTCAAGAACAATCAATGAAAAAACTTTGTAGAGTTTAAATGAGGTTTTCACATTTTAATTAATATTAATACAATATTTTATTTTAAAAAGGTGTAATATCGAGAGGCCTGTTGGTCTAATGGTTAGTGACCCTCACTGCTAAGCCGGAGGTCGTGGGTTGATTCCCAATCAACAATTTATCTACGATGTGTTTGTTTTTAGAAATATAAGTATGTGGACCTGAAATAACATTATCCAGGTCCTCCCAGAGTAGGGCACCTGAGGCCGGCTGCGGGGTGGTTTTTAGTGGAATCACCACATATTCCTGGCTCCTGAGTCCCCGAGGAGCCGGAGATCCGAAGGGATTTTCCACCCCGTCAACAAAAAAAAAAACTGTATGTCAGTGGTCTGGTTACAATAGCACAGATTCTGTCTAATTTGGGATCAGACGGACGCGTGATTATTAATATATAAATAATCATATTCAACATAAAAAAGGTTTAACAAAGACAAATAAAAACAGACAAGAACTTACCCAAATCCGTGACTCAATTCAATTTTGATTTGATTACAAATTGTATTTTACTTTTAATTCTAAATAAATTATAACAGACAGCTAATCCTATGAGTAATAAATATCGTTACATAAACGTATACAACACAAACTAATATTTCCCTGATTAATAAGTGGTTTCCAGCGCCATTGCAGGATTTGTGTAATGTCGAACATATTATGTGGTCTGGTATTTCTGTCAGCCAAACGGGTTTTTTTACCACTTCTTGAAAAAACCGTTACCCAAAATAAATTACCTTTGAAAGTCATTAAAAGCGTGATTCAGCGATCTTGTGTGAATAATTTCGTTAAGATAAGTAGGTAGGTAATCCCTGTGTTATAGCTTCGTGTTTGCGGAAGTGCCAATGCTGTTAGGCAGCGCACAGCAGATTTCTGCTCGACTAACTGAGAACTTTCTTTGATTAGAAGCGTGAACGGAGCTCTCTCTGCCATCAATTAAGAAGAAGTTTTGGGTTATATTCATCGCTATGTACATATTGCGATATCACTGGTATTACGATTGTGGTAGCGGTGGTCGCACACCATCCGGTGATTCCTTGTTTGCCAACAACTTGCCTTTAACGATATTCCATGGAACGCAGATTATAAAAGTTAGTATAGGCTACCCAAACTTAGAAAATCAATGTACTTAATATTGTTATGTACCACCCAACCCACTAGACGCCCAAAGCACTAATTCCCGCCAGACTGAACAAAACATTAAAAACAAATAGGCTTTTACGGCTATGCAGACACCGTCTAAACTCAGCAGCACTGGCCATTAATAACATGCTACAGATTATATAGAACAAATACGATAAATTCATGAGTGGATATTATTAAAAGGACATATAAGAGAAGATAACGGCGAGGCAGTAAATTTGAGAATTTGTCGGTGTAAGCCGTGGCATGCAACGTGTTCGCCAGTGTTCCTATCCCCGGGCGGCTGCCGGCTTAAAGAAGCTTTTGTAATCGGCTATTGAAAGGCGAACAAATTGAGATGCTCAAATACTTTTATATTGGATATTTCAGGACTTACCATGTTCAATTTCAAATGTAAAATATGTTGTTTTTTAAGCTTTACAACTAGGTATCTAATACATTTGAGTTAAGATGGATACCCTCATGTAATTAACTCATTTAGACTAGTGATCCTGGCTGCAGAACCGGAGGCCGATGCCCGTCCAGGACAAATAACTGCTTGATGTTGTTTGTTATGTGACCAAAAGCTAAAATATGTACATTTAGAGATAAACATTTAAGTTTGTTTATCATCAGTCTCAATTTAATATGTCCCCAATTGTCTGTGGGATGTGTCAATTTAGTATTTTGAAGTTAACCAATATGGTCAAAAATTTAAACCTAAATATTAAAATTAATGTTAAATCATACCTAAGTACTTTAAATAACAAAAGAAGAAATATCAGAATCTTCCGCCGGTAAAAGTCAAATCTATATTATAATAAATAAAAATATTTATTTAGATGTTAGCCTCAAAAAGAAAATGTCACGTACCATTCATGTAAATGTACCTTGGTATAACTTTTAAGTTATAAAGCGAAAATAAATGCACGCTTAGTTTGCGAAACAAGAAAAGTGAAAATGCGTTAAATGTGGCCTTTTTTGTGGATAACAAAGTTGGCAGGCAGTCTGGCAACTGTCACCAGCACCCGGTACGTAGGGGCCTCAAAAAAACTTAAACGAGAAAGGAATAAAAATGTGCTAAGAATAACAGGCACAGGTTAGCAGCGGAAATGAATGGTTCCAACTGAATAAAACATCTTGAAATCTGTTTATGCAATGTTTCATTTTTGTTTCGACAATTTTTTGGTAAAAATACGCTTGTATTTTTTCCAATTTTAACATAACATTACAAAGAGACACTTCAAATATTTATTTGTTTATATTTTTAGAGATTACTGTTTAAATATAATTTTATAAAAAGATCTCGTATCTTTTTTATGGTTAGATAGTTGGCAAACAATGGACCGCGTTTGTGTCCATTTATCTCCGTAACACTTTAGCGTCACATAAAATTAAATTATTACGAAAGTTGCAGCACCGTGCATTAGTCTAAGCTGAGTTCGTATTTAAATAAGTAGGTATATAGCTTAAAAACTCAAGTTCTAACTCACAGATGCCTTTGTATTGGGACTAATCCTTCCCACACGCCCACCACTAAAACTCCTGTACAGCAGGATCAACAGCAGTGACCCACGAACACACCGAATTATGACACGGGAAGTCCCAGGCAAAAATTAAATTGTCTTGGAATTAATCAGAAGAAAATGGGAGGAGTTAGAAATACAGTAAAACCAATTCCCTCCTTAGCAAAGCGGGAGAGAAAATGAAGTAAAATAGGAGATGCCTTAGTAGTTGAAAACCCTCAATAAACATTGACTGCACGGATGGCGTAGTGGTTTAAGCGGTCGCCACGTGACTTTGTGTAATCCACAAATTGTTGTTCTGAGTCTGGGTGTTTTTTGTGTAAATTTCATATATATCCTGTGCCATTTTGTGCCCGTTGACCTGTGACGTTAGTAAAGAGTGAACAAGAGCCTCAATCTTGCAATATAGGTAACGAAAGAGGTGGATAATAGATAGTTCCCTCTATCTCTTTCTAATCAAGCTTGGTGGTTAGCTGGGAAGTTTCTAATCTCCCGCCTGCTCTACGATCAAAACCATGGCTACTTTACGATAGCCAAGCGCAGCTTAGCTAAACAGAGGCAGAGGGAACTATCCGGCATCCATCTCTCTTGTTGTCTGTATCACTTCCACTTACAGGCAGCTGTACACCCTGTTCTATCTATGCTTATATCTCTATGGAATTTAGAGACTAGATTAAAAAAAGACGGATATTTTAAGTTTGAGTTTCTTATCACTTGTTTTCTGTGAGGCCTTGGTGGCACTTTGCATTTTGGCGAAATCCCATGATAAAACTAAGCTGAATTGGTTTGGATCGCGTTATAGAGAAATTTGAAACTTTAATTTTCAACAGTGTACTTGCTTAGAATTCAATTCAGATTAGAACTTGTTGAAGAACCAGACGTCTTTGGATGGCTCTTCAAAGTTCGAAACTATTTCCATTTTAACAATCAGAAACTCCATACATTTTAATGGCGACCTCTGGTCTTCTCCTCCTATGGTTTAAAGAATCGTACATACTGAGAAATTATTTAAAATAAAAATGTAATGTAAGTTGACCGTAATGACAGTAATGGCCCGGTCTTGGGTGAGACAGGTCAACGACCTGTGTTTTGGGGGGGTGGGAAAAAATGCAATGTCAAAATTTCCTTCCCCCGATCATAGACACAGGTTGGTTTTTAGTCGGTAAGAGAGACAAACCACTTCGCCCTCCGCCTTTCCATGGGTTCCTCCACTACGTCGAAAATAAATATTATAAGTTACCTATTGTTTAAAGCAAGGTTGTTTCCATTTTGGTGCAACAAAAAAATGAACCTAAAATCTTAAATAAATTTTGTCCACTTTTGATCGAAACCCCAAGCATCAATATATGTAAAAATGTATTCATCAACCTTAGTAACTAATATGGGACCAGAAAGCCATGAGATGCGTGAGGTTATTATTATTCTCTTTATTACATTATATATACATAATAATTATATTAAAAAATACATTTTTAAAGATATTACAAAAGAAAAAAAAATACATTTAAAAATACAAAAAATAGTAAACCACCGACATTGGGTACAGGGACCAAGACACCGGTGGTTAGGACTCCAAAGACAGAAACTCCTTATAAATCACACATATATATTTAATTATATGTATCTAATAACACCACCAGCCGTGTTCAGAACATACTATATTCCCTCTAGTATGTTATATATTCACCTTAGTTCAACAAATAGATACTATATGTAATTATCACTTTTTATAGCTATGTGTATACTACTTTGATTTCATCTTCTTTCTATTTCCTAATACACCAGCCACTACCCAATAACTCCTCCCCTTCATGTTTTCTCTCCATACCAAGGTTGCCTGTAAGAGATTGCCTCTGAGCGATAAGGCTGCCACTTGTACTAACCTAGTTTAAGATAGTTATTGTATATTTATATCTAATGTACAATAAAGCGATATATTAATATTATTATTAATTCATAATCATCATCAAATAATTAATTATTATTAACAATATATTATTATTATTATACATATATTTAGATACTATGATTTCTTTCTTTAGCTCATAACTACTTATTAAAATTAATTTCAATTATTTATGCTGGGGATTGGTTGATAAAGTGATTCAAACCGCCATGAAATGATACTCTTATTAGTGAAATAAAAAAGAAAATAAAAAATATATTACAGAATATTATATCATCTATTAAAATACTATTCACTACTTAAAATGAAAAATTGTCTATGTAATTTGTTTTAATATTCCTTGTCTTATAAGTGTTTGACATTCAGATGTTGGGAGAAAATGTCGGCTGTTTCTTTTCAAAAGAATTACATCACCATCTTCTAACTCCAATTTCCCATAATCAGCCATACAAAGGACTTCAATATAAAGGGATTTTGGAGGTTTCAAATTTTCGGTTAAGTCTATACCATTATAACCAATATCTTGACCCAAAGATCTCATATATGAAGCTAAATTTGAAGAATACTTTGAAAACCACAGGTATTCATCATCAGACAGCAGTTCACGGACATCAGGTGGTAGCACAGAGCCGAATTCCCATCTCAGGGTTTTAATTTTATTCATTCTGTTGTATAAATAAGCTAATAAACAACGCTTATTCCGTTCCAGAGCTGAATGTCTCACTTGTACTGTTGTCCACAAAGTTTTATTTTCCATTGTTGCATTGCTGCAAAACATAACATATGAATTCATAGCCATTATATAACTTTATCAACATTTTGTTATCCTTTTTATATACATAGCACTTCCAATAAGAATGTAAATTTATTTATAGGTTATGATTTAGATGTACTAATATTATGCAAAATAAATACTATTGGCACATATAATGTTAATACTTACGCATCATTCATATTCATCTTAAACAGTGATTGCATTTCCTCTAAAATTTGACGGATTTTATCATCCTGTAGAAAAATATATAATTAATCGTGAGTCAAAACGAAGTTTAAATTTTCAACGTAACGTACAAAGTAACTTACGTTAAATGGGTCAATAGTGGCAGGATTTCTTTCAGCTTCTTTTAATAATTCTATAACTTTTTCAGCAAACATTTTAGTAATTAGTGTTAGAAATACTTAATAATTAAAATAATTTATTATTGGCGGCAATTTTGTGTTGTCATACTTGTCATAATACGTTTGACAGCAATTGGAAAACCCAAGAAACCAACGTCCAAATAAGATATGTCCGGATACACCAAAAATACAGATGTTTCAAGAATTATAAGATTTTAAATTTAAAATCTTTTACTATATAAATGGTCATAATAATATCTTCATAATAGGCTATTGTACTAAGTTTTAAATTTATTCTATACATGATATTTTACATAGTACATTAATTTACCGGGAAATTAGTTCTATTTATATTTAAAAATCGCTATTATTGTTGGGACTAATCCCACCCACACGCCCACCACTGTAACTCCTGTACACCAGGATCCACAGCAGTGACCCACGAACACACCGAGTTATGACACTCGGGAAGTCCCAGGAAGAAATTAAACTGTCTTGGAACCCGCAACGAAATTAATCAGAAGAAAATTGGTGGAGTTGGAAATACAGTAAATCCACTTCCCTCCTTAGCAAAGCGGGATACAAAATGAAGTAAAATGGGCATACACCCTTTTAAACAGGGAAGCACCACGGCCACAAAATATTACGGGTCCTACATGAGCTATATTTGTTTAAATTTCTAAAGCCGCGGCAACAACGTGCCCTGACATCACACAGTAGTCACATACTCAAGGGCAAAGTAGACCCCCCGCACCCCAGCCTGTAAATTTGATATATAAAAAAAAAACCAATCGACGTATCTTAAATAGCACTTTCCAAAATTATTTATTATTAAAACAGCATCCTCTTAGTTTACGAGTAAATAATAAATAAAGATACTACCTGCTACACTGTCTATATCACTTGAAATACTTCGAATTTCATACTTTTTGCACAGTGGAAAAACTGCACCCTACTCGAAACTAACTGCACTATCATTAGAATTTTATAAAATGCAATAAATAACAAATAAAACGTAATCAGTCAATTGCCGAAGGCGCGTGATACGTTTGCGCTTTAGGGCTTGTTAGGGCTTTTATTTTCGAAGGTTCGAAGCAAGTTCCCACCCCTAACCGTATTTGCGCTTATTTTTCTGCTGTGAATGTTGATGCTCCAAAAAAACAATTTGTTTAGATAGCTAAAAAGTCTCTTTGCATCTTGTACAATTATATGGTTCACTTTTGACACTTGTGACTCTTGCGTTGTCGTCACAGACTTGTATCCAATCATAAGACGTTCCCGTCCAAGGTAAAATTAATGAAAAATATAAATATATTTCGCTAAATTGAAAAATTTACACCAATTAGCGTAAAAATTAGTATAATTAGGAGAATATTTTCAATGTTCTCAAATAGCCCATTAGAAGAAAAGTGACTTCTTTGTAAAGAAAAACTAAATTCTTCACTAGTTACTAAATTAAATTCTTCTGCTATAATTACAATTATTATCTCCCAATAACGAGATAAAAGAAAAAAGATTTTACATGCTCCGAGGATCTAAGTTATTTAATAAAATAAATAAATTAAAGCTCATAGTGAACTGTGTGAAGATAGAATTCAAAACCAAAATACGGAAGGTACTACTCAATCTATTTAGATTGAGTAGTACCTTCCGTATTTTGGTTTTGAATTTTAATTTTAACTAATTTTAGTTAGAAACAGAAAAGTTGCTGGTTGCATAATCTGTGATAATAACGACAATAATTATATATGTACATATATACAAATTCACACATACACACACTCAAACGTATGCATATATAAATATCCAGCCTTAAACGCATCCCTGACAACACTACTGTAACTTCAATATCTGCGGGTCTTTTTTTTTTTGTTGACGGAGTGGAAAATTCCTTCGGATCTCCGGCTCCTATGTGGTGTTTCCACTAAAAACCACTCCGACGGCCAGCCTTAGGCACCCTGCTCTGAGGAGAACCCATGGGCCATATGATTTCAGGTCCCCCCAGATCGACGCCGCACCTAACTATTCCCCATCTCAGGGAAAGTCAGTGGCTTCTCCCTGCCTATCAGCCTATCCAGATGTTGCGGCCCGATCACACTTTCAGTGCGATCAGGCTGCCATCCTATCCCCTACCGCAGCAATTAATCTGCCACCAGAGCATCTGCAGTAATGATTGCTGGCGGGGACAAGTCTCGTCTGATTTCATCGACCAGGACTTCGCGTTCAGATACCCACGCGGGGCTGTCTACCAGCGTGTGCTGGGCAGAGTCCCAGTCGGCCGCGCAGTGCTGGCATTGTCCCGTCTCCTCGCGTCCAATCCGATTCAGGTACTCACCGAAGCAGCCATGCCCAGTGAGCACCTGCGTCAGTCGCTAGGTGACGCGACCTCCCTCCCAATATCTGGTGTTCTAAAATTCAGGCCAAGGCTTAGTTTAGACTCCAGATCCACTACAAATTACCAATTAAGTCAAACATTATTCAAGTTAGATATTAAGACTTGTGTAATTTGTATAGATAAAGAAAAATAAATTATTATTATCAGTTTATTTATTTTTTTCTAAAAGTTTAAATAGTCTGTGATGTTTAATATAATTTAGTGGTTCATTTTCATTACATATGTGATTTTGTATTTTGTATTGTATAAGCTTTGATGTTTTAGTGCATGCTGTAGTCTCCTATAACTGAAGTACATTATTAAAAAAATGTGTGTAATAAAGGTACTTTTATGTATATCCTTTGGTAGACATTCAGTAAATAAATAAAAGAATACTTACACACAAATAAATTATATCCGCAAGTTTTAATTCTTAAATTTTATGCTGAATATAATTTTTAGTTATATACGTTCTGCATTTTAATAAATAAACCATGTTACATGCAGTCTTACACACCATGATTGAATAAAATATTTTTGAATATCAGTATAATCTAAAGTGAGAATAAAAAGTATATATTATTATATACTATTATCATGATGTTGTATAGAATGAGACTTTCCCATGAAAATATGATTAAAATAAACTTCCCAAATAAATGCGTAAAATACGAAGTATATAAAAGACGGTGTGTGCGATAGCGCTCAGTCAGTTCACATCTGGTACGGTCAGTCGAACGATCGTGCGTATATCCGAACGTGGAATATAAGTGGAGTTAATAAAAAACATTCATTACATCGCATTGCTTTGAAGTTTGACCATTCATTGCGCATGCGAATCTAAAGTAAAGTGGTTGTTTACTACGGACTTATTTTTTGTTTTAAAACATGCTTTCACATAGTTAAACTACATAAAAACGCGCATTTCGTACGTATTAAACTGTAAACAAGAAATTAAAAGCAACAAAAATGAGTGCAAGTAAGAAGGACGAGTCTAAGACGAAGATTACCGTGGACGAAAGTGTCGATTCTGGTTTTTTGTCAGGACCGCTCGATCATTGGGCTGGTGATGAGGATCCAGAACAAAGCAAGGATGAAAAAGTGTTGTGTGGTGAAAGTGGTGTGATAGTTTGCGATACTTTAGTGGAATGTTTGGCGGATGTGAAGCTCGGTGACGCTGAGCTTGTACGTCCACAGACTGAACAAATTAGGTGCACAGTAACTTCGCCCGAGGAGAAGGTTATTCCAGCATCACATTTGGCTATATTTTTTGAGCCGGATGACGATGGAGACACGTATGTATTCTTTTACATTACATTCTAACAATATTATGTTTATAAATAGGCATAAAATACATTGATTGGACTTTCAATTATAATAATTTAATGAAGTTCCTAATTTAAAATCTTTTTTTTTTAATTACTTCAAATACTATGCACTGATATTTAATTTTATAAGTTTTGTTGAACATTTTTGAAACATGTTTCATCATTTTGCAGTCACCTAGAATAACACCAAGAACATAATCTATTAGAATCAATGCTTTTATAAGTATTTTAATGGCAGCTATGATAAGCAACAATAAGTAATGAAACATTCAACAAAATTGTAAAAAATATTATATAAATACTAACTACTACTAAAATACACAATATGTGTTAGTTAGCTTCACAACAGTAAATATTACAGTTATTTATTCTCAGTAAACACTTAGTAAACAGTCTCAGTAAAAATTAAGTATTTATCTGTAAAAATATATGTAAACTAATTGCAAACACAAAAAAAGTCAACCATTTATCTTATTTCACAACGGTAACTATTAATATGATTCACAGATGGTTGATCTCGTCCAATGATTTATATTGTGGGAATAAAATGCACATATTTCACAATTATAAATAATATTTGATCCTTTTACTTGTAAAAAATGGCTTATGGGTATAAAAACAGTATTTAATGTAAAAACATGACTTAAAGATTGAAAAAGGCACATTGCACAAAATAAATCTTAATAAATATATTAATACGAATGGAATACAAGGGGTATTACTATTTGTAGCTAAACACCAGCTTAAAAATCAATGACTTGTAATTTACTTAATAAATTTATTGTTGCGGAATTATTGTTCATGTCACATATTACCTTTTTAGAAGTAATAGTCATACTCAGTAGTCAATATAGATATGCAAGTATATCAGTAGCCTTGGGGGAAACCCTGAGGTCTATGCCTTGTTATTAATTCTAGTTGTTTTATTTGAATTGTTTATCTAACAATATCATCAAGTTGCTTTCTGCATGATCACTTAATATTTGTAATAATTCAATAATAGTCCACCACTAGAACTTATGCAGTTTGCAGTACATATTTTGCAACTTGTTTGACCTTCACAACAAGATAGAATAGACAGATTATGAATAACACAATGACAATGCTTATTATCTCTACGGGCCCGTTGGTCTAGTGGTTACGGACCCTGACTGCTGAACCTTTTGGGGTTAAACGTTGGCTAAACGTTGTGGGTTCGATTGCCACCCAGAACAAATATTTGTGTGATGAGCACGCTTTGTACTGTGTCTGGGTGTAATTTATCTATAATATGTATGTATTTAGAAATATATAAGTATGTTTATCAGCAGTCTAGTTACTATAGCACAGGTTCTGCCTAGTTTGGGATCAGACACCCGTGTGCGAGATGTGTAAAGTTATTATTATTATATTATTAATTATTATTTGAGTTTCCATGTGAGATTTCAGCTTTTTTTAATTCCATATGTATTTTTATAAAATTGACAGTTGTTCTTTTTGTTTAAATTTAATTCAATTAAATATCACTTGAAACATTAAGGGTTTGGTTATTGTAGGAAGTAAACACTTCCTTTATGCTGATTTTATCATTAGTATTCACAAACATTTCCTGCTCGGCACATAGATAATTAAATTTACAGTGTTGAACTTATATTATTCATATTATGTACCATTTGTTGTAAATGACAAACAACCCAAACTTGTTCTTATTGTAAATAATATACTTAATTACTGCAGGAAATAATTCCCTTAGCTAAACACATTTCAAAAGGTTTAAAATACAGAGTTATAATAAAAATAATATTCTACCACATTCACACTACACCATCTAGTCCCAAACTAAGCAGAGCTTGTACTATGGGTACTAGACAACTGATATAAATACATATATACTTTTTTTTTGTAAATACATACATTATACATAGAAACACCCAGACCAAATCAAACATTAAATGTTCATGCACACAAATGTTTGACTTGAGAGGGAATCGAACTGTAGGAATAGCTATCCGTTACACAAAGCCAGCAAGTTCAGTTGTCTACTTCGGTTGCGTTTTAATTGCTCATCTGTGACACACAATAACTGTAATTGGGCCAATGATCTACACATTGGTCACTAACCATGGAGTCTGAACACCAATAAAGTTATCTGATGATGCCTGACCATATTATAAGTCTTGAACATGCTTGTTACAGACAACTACACATTGCATCCATACACGGCTGCGAGAAGTCAGTTGGCACACTGATCAAAATATGCCCAAATAAAGAGCTGTTGGACATAACAAATGAACACGGTCACACACCGTTGCATTTGGCTGTGATGAGTGGAAACGCAGTTGTAACTAGAATGTTAGTTCGGGCGGGACTCTCGCTCGGAGTACGAGATAGAACGGGAGAGACGCCATTACACAAAGCCACCGCAGCAGGACACGTAGAGTGCTTGCAGGCCCTACTAGCGCCAGTCCCGGATCAGCAGCCACGAAAGCTTGATTTTGCCCTTAATCAGAGAAATTACAGAGGTGAGTAAAATACTTGAATCAATATTCAATGATGTCATTATTACAGGTTTCTTATGAGTTACCCAGTGAGCTCATTTATAAATCATACCTTTTCTACTGAACCTTTTGCTTGAATAGGAATTATATGCAAAAGTACTACACAGTTGACGTCATTTCTTTATATTATTTCGTTTCGTAACTTCCCTAACTTATGTCAATGTTCCAGATTTTTTTGTTAAGCCTTCGAAATGTTTGTTCAAATTTTTAAAATTCGACTCAGACTCGAAAATATTCTTCATGTTATTAGTGTGAACAATAGGATGATACAACATCACAGTTGTTAGTTAAACAAAACTCATTATAACGTCACTTACAAAATAAAGTTTATTTCAAACGTCTAATACCTACCTTACCTACACATGGAACGCTTAGGTTCGCAACACTTCATTTAAATCGCGGACAGTAAAAACCCACTACGGTTTTTCCAAATTGGAGCTAAGGTAGAGTTTCATTATGTTTATAAAAATGTTAAATTCAACTGTATATTACTTGTGTGTAAATATGTATATATGTCGGAATGTCTTCCACATAAACTAGCAGTATCAAAACTATGCTGAATGGTCTGAATTTATGCGAGAGATTAGTGCGCCTGTATCATATAAATATACACGGTTACTTCGCCGTATGATTGTAATATGTATATATACGTATGCGTTATCTATTAAACGGGTCATGAACTCGCTTGAAATTATAAAAATACGATATAAAGCTACTTATTCATAATTAATTTTGTTATTAGTTCGATGAGAATCATTTCGAAGGTTTGAAGCATTTACTGTCATACATAATGACAACGTAGGCATTATCATTGTTGGCTTGTCTACCTTAGTGTACAAGAAATTGTCCTTCGGTATGCAGTACCTCCGCCTAGGTCCGGACATGAGTCTGCGCACAAAAGCACGCCATTTCTCCTCAGAAAAAATACGGATTTTCTCTAGGATATCTGTTGAAATGTCGTGCTAGGATCAACTACAACCCGTTTACTATGCTAAACAACGCAAGCGCACATTGTTTACGTGTGAACGTACCGTGCCTACTATTGACGTACTCCAAGGTCTTTATAACACTCGATACCATAAAAGATGTCTTGACGTAGATAGAGTACATTTGGACATTGCCCCTTGCCCCATGGGTGGGTAAAAAGTCTAACAGGAAATTACCTATATCTAATTGCCTTAACTGCATACCACAATATAGGCACTTAGATTTTTACTGTTTTCGGTTTTTCCGGGCGGATAAAGGACATACCATGGTACTAGATGGAAAAGCATTCTGTCTTTTGCCTTGCTCGTAAACAATTTACATACGGATTTACCCAAAATATTGACCTTGTGTTTGAAAAGTTATTAGTAAAATAGAATTAACTTATATTATTATTATGTGTAGTATGGAAGAGGTCAATATATCTTTATGGATGGACGATCGGTTGGTTTTGTCGAAGTGGGGAGGTTGCCGGCGGTTGGGTATTCCCAACATTACTGCGGCCGGGTCGCGTAACGAACTCAGCCGGCCGCTCATCGAGTGAAAGCTAATATTTTGTCGGTCATAACGACTGCCGTGAGGCCGAAGCACAAGACTCCATCACTCGGAACACAGTTTGGGTTACCCCAGAACCATTGTTTGTGCGTTAATTGAAATAATATTACAAATATGCTAATATTCAACATAACAAGGTGGTTTTCCCATTTGAGACACTTTCAATATTTTATCTTGTTTGTGTACATGTGTTTATCGTCACCGCTTTGTATTTTATCCGATAAAGATATCTAGATTCATGTATATCAAGTAAACCTCAGTTATGCAATGCATTGGCTGATTTATAGTGCCAATCACCGAGGTCAATATGACCCCAGGAAAACCGCAAACGGCCTGCGCCTCCGTCGTGGACAATGATAGCTGTTTATGATGAGTCTGGGCAATACCCATGTGAAAGTATGCCGGCGCGCTTACATACGGACGGAAATCCCAGGCCGTTGGTATTATGAGAATGTTACGTGGGACCGAGCTTTCTAATTATATCTTCGGTTAAATCGTGTCTCGAAAAAACTGTCTGATACATAAACGAACGAGGTACGACACAAAGAGGCTATCACTTCCTATAAATAACTAAAAAAATATTGAATAAATTTTAGATTGGACACATCTAAAAGTGGGCGTATCTTTAATTTGTCGGAGATCTAGCGTCCAAGGACGTCTAGTTTAATTATCGTTTTATTTGGATTTCCCAACATACGTAGATAAAGATTTAAATAATTGATATTAATGGCTCAAGTAGTTACTCTACGTCAGTTCCCTGTCCAAGTGACTTATAGAACTGAATAAAACTTGTTGTAATGCGTCGCGACTCGTTGTGAGGATAGAATTTATTATGTATGTATGTATGTGATAATGTGATGTCTTGTGTCACGTACGTATACGTTTCCATCGGTTCACGAGCCGCTAATTTCATTTAGCACATATGTTTTATATATATGAGCGTGTGTATAGCGTTATCTAGCTGGAGAAGTCGTAAATATAAAACGATATCTCTTGTATTTAACACATGTACCGTTTTTTTAGGCCTTCGGGGTTTTCCAATATCCCACACGGCCATATTTATCATGAAATCTTCAATACACATTTTAGTACTTTTTGGCATCTTTAGAAATGAACACAGTATCTTTATAGAATTTTATTGCCACTGTGCACTTTTCAGACGGTTTGAACTGACTATAAAAAAACAATGCACTATAAAACTAACGTAAATTCCATCAGAATATAATCTTCTCGCTAAGGGATACTGTAAATCTTGGATTGGATATGGAGACTGCAGCAGCTCTCAACACAAATAATATAGTAACAAAATACTAACAATTATCTGATACGATGATTGTAATAAGTGCGTACTGCTTGCTTTAAATTGTAAGTAGGTATTCTATATACGAAATATACCTTCACTTTTTAGCATCGCACTGATCTGCCGAGCGATAATCCATTAGACAGGTATAATCTTTTTCATGCTATTTTTATTTTATTAGTAGATACTGTCGCGACTTGTATTAATCAGTGGAATTTTAACCGTTACTCGTATCAATTAGACGGTAAATAATTTCATTGATAGGTTGGCAGATAACTTCATCGATATTGGGTTACGGTACTAATTCTTAGCCAGTGTGACGTAAGACACCAATAAAGCCATTATCTAACAGAATTATGTGACGTCAAAAATATCTACATCTTATAGTTAAATAATTGCAAGTTTGGCCAAAAATACCAATCCTGTGACCAAATTCCCCAACAGCCAACGACACCTGCTCACGTCGACTGACAATTAACGTTATACATATATACAATTTTTACTGAGGTGTGTTTGCGAGCCAAACAAGGCTATGGGTTTTTACGTGAAAACCAGTTGAAACACATCCGAGCGCTCAGGATTCCGCATGGTATTTTAAGACGTTAAACCTTGGCAATATATGTTGAGGATCTTTCTCACTGTCCAAACCTTTGTTGTATTCTATTATAAAATATTTCCAATGACTGCAGTAATAAAAACCTAATTATAGCCAATTCGCTTATTCGTCATAGTATTCTGTGTATAGATGCACACGAAGACTTCGCCAGTGCATCGGCAATACCCCTGACATACTCACCAAATTGCGCTTAAATTTTACCGGCGTTTCGGATAGTATTTTGACTCTTAAATAAGGAAATTGATTTTCTTGATCCATTGGGTTTCGTGTCGATCATGTAATTAGATAAATCTAGATATATTTACTATCATAATATACTTTAGTTAAACTACGTCAGCGGTCATAGGCATTAAATTAGCGTCGTAGTTATAGAGGTTTACGGAAACAGAGAAAACATAGTAGTACCGCGCCTTATTTGGCGAGTATCGAGGTGCGCATGCGCGGCGTGCGCTTGCCAGTCGCCGGCCGCCACATTGTTGGGAAAACCCTATCGGCCTGCGCTCCTTCCCCGACCCCCCTCATACCGCGCGCCGCGCTGCTTCGTGACGACATCTTACACATGCCACTACCGGCTGCATTCGCCTGTCGCTCCCTACGTCTCACCGAAGTCACGTCATCCGGAGGCGCCAACAATTCTTTGATTACAATTTTTTTACGATGCTGTTTGGATCTACGCAGAAAAAAACATGACTGGACAACGATGTTTTGTTGTCGTACGTTCCAAAGATTCTTAGTCAACTGTTTATTAGCATAGACGATTTAATAATTTTGAACACATCTTATTTGTACATGGTTTATTGATACAGAATATCTGATTTAGTAAGAAACAGCTTTGGTGATCCCTCATCTTCGATAGAAGTCGGCAGCTCTAAAGTCATAGACACGGTGTTTCAAAGAATGCAAGCATTTGGCAATACATATAACACACGTATGTGTTTATGCCACGGCACGGGCATGTCAAGGTTTCTGGGATCTCCGATGTGCCTACGTAATTTGTCTTGAGTCAACAACAACCGTAGGAAACGTTTGGTTATACAATATCTACAAATTATTCAACAATGGACCCGCCGAGATGTTTCTATATAATATGTAATGGAGATGAAACTACTATGTTTTTATTTACCTCCGTGTTTAACAGTACAGTTGATTCGTGCAACGGACTTTTAAGAGTTACTTTGTTTAAAATGAGAGATGTGTTTAACACTTACGCATGTACGAAGTAATAAAACTAATAACTTAGATTAGTTAATCAGCAAAAGACACCATCAAAGCAGTTTTTTTTGGTTAGCTTAGCATTCCTGATTTTCACTCGGAGACGGAGATTTTTTAAATCTACGCCTTAATATGTACAACTGATGAAATATGTGTCTAGCAGAAAATAGTCACAAAGAATTATATAAAGTTCACCTAAATACTTGCGCTTTAAAAAGCGCTCGGCCATTTTTGTTCGCGGATCTATTTTAGTTATGTTTTAAATATACTTGGAAAGGTTCCAGCCAGTTCGTCTCTGATCACGAGTTGATCTCTGATCACAATAACTTTTGTATTGTTCAAATTGTGTGTTAGTTAACGTACAATATACAACCGTTCAAACTAATTTGACAGTTACGATAATAAAAGCTTATTCTTATAGCACAAAGCTCTAAGATACGTATATTTTTTCCTCTTATGTGTAGCTCATTACAATATATTTTGTAATAAAATTGTAGTAACCAGTTCCTACGGCAAAACGATTCACTCCACACATATGACGTGTGTTTACTTATTATAGTTAAAAGGTTATCTAACATTGTGTACGTACTTGCTGTACCAAGATATACCATTATTTCTTGGATAATTTACACATGTTCCCAGAACTCGCTATACTAAATAATTTTAATACGAATATTACTGGGATTGAGGAGGCAATTTAAATAAATAACAAATATTAATTTCCGCGTAGGAGTGCTCGTATATACAAGGCTAGATATGTACCAGGCGCTTAAATATTGCTTTACATTTAAGTATAACTATTAATCTATACTAATATTATAAAGCTGAAGAGTTTGTTTGTTTGTTTGTTTGTTTGTTTGTTTGTTTGAACGCGCTAATCTCAGGAACTACTGGTCCGATTTGAAAAATTCTTTCAGTGTTAGATAGCCCATTTATCGAGGAAGGCTATAGGCTATATATCATCACGCTAAGACCAATAGGAGAGGAGCACCAATGAAGAATGTTTCAAAAACGGAGAAAATTTATTACAATTGAGAGACGCAGACGAAGTTGCGCGGGTCAGCTAGTCTATACTAATATTATAAAGCTGAAGAGTTTGTTTGTTTGTTTGAACGCGCTAATCTCAGGAACTACTGGTCCGATTTGAAAAATTCTTTCAGTGTTAGATAGCCCATTTATCGAGGAAGGCTATAGGCTATATATCATCACGCTAAGGCCAATAGGAGCGGAGCACCAATGAAGAATGTTTCGAAAACGGAGAAAAATTATTACTATTGAGAGACGCAGACGAAGTTGCGCGGGTCAGCTAGTTGCTTTATATGTGTATATTTAAGAATGCCCCTCGCACTCACTCTAGGCCTACCTGTGCACGTATATATAACGAACATAATGTATGAGTATTTGTTATCAATATATTAACGTTTAGGTGTCTTTGTTTCAGGTCAAGCATGTGTGCACGTAGCAGCATCATCAGGACATCTCGAAGTGCTGCAAACATTGGTCTATTACAAAGCTGATATTAATGCTAGGGTAAGTTTACATCGTATGCATTCAACAATAATAATAAGTATATATAAACATAGGTACACAGACCACAAATGACTCAATCTGTTCTTCGGATTGCCCCAAACACAAGAAGAAAACATAACAATGTCAAACTGTAAAAACCTTGGTGATTTAATACATCTCGAGAAATCATGGGTTTCTCAGAGGAATACTCTGGGTATTACGGTGCGAGTGATTTACCCAGCGCTCTCAATATAGCGGTCAGACCGAAATAGGCAACTAAAATTATTTCTGTGAATGTTGCCTCGCTATCGTACAAAATGATGACTCAATGCGACATCCCCGATTGTTTTGATCACTTTTTGCGTCCTCCGTGTTAAGGAAAAAGCTATTGTTTTATATTTGTGTTTACCTAGAATTCTTTTGTAATCAAAATAATTTAACCTCTAGCATTTGAAGCAGTATATCTATTAAAGTCTTTGCCCTCAACTGTGTGTATAATCATTGGTAAAAACAGCTTGGAAAACCCACTTTAATCTCTGATACGGCGATATCGTGTACGTTGGGGTTTTTTCTTTGCGTAGACGCTGCCATTGCGTTGCTTAAAACACCTTTACTGTACTGCAGAAATGTGATAAGGGCTATATCTGTTATCTAAATCGGTATTGCGCACGAGGCTCCCATCGTCTTGAAAGTCAAACAATATTATGTACTGAATATGTTAGAATAACTATTGTGCCCTTGATAAATGGGTTTATCCAGCACTAATATAATTTTTCAAAAAGAACCAATAGTTCCTGAGATTGATACAAAATTCATTCTCAAGTGTATTTGATTCATTCAGACAATGACTCAATACAAACAATTATGAATTGTAGAACAACCTCCTATCGTATAAATAACCTCTGTATAATTCCTATAATTGTATTATTCAATGGTCATAATGAGAGTTTAGTAGAACGCTGAATGTTTCCCAGAAATCTTGGCTGACAATTCGGTGTAACTTGTGATAACAGGATCATCATATGAGTTTTTCTTGGTACAGGAACATTTGGCGGGCTGGACAGCTCTCCACATAGCCAGCCGCCGCGGTGACGTGCGGATGGTGCAGTTCCTCCGCGAACGTTGCGCAGGAGTGGTGGTGGACGCCAAAGACTTTGCCGGACGAACGGCCCGACGTATTGCCAAACGTACGCCCGCCGCAAGACTGTTTGCCAATGATGATGGCAGTGATGAAGAATCGGACTCTGATGATGATGTAAGTACCTACTTCTATTATGGAGACTAGAGATCTGATGTGCGACCCTGACCTGATCGAGTGGTTGCTTATGGTTACTGGTACTTAAATTATAGCTGTCTAAATTATCATCATAATCTTCTTGCCTGATCCCAAATTCATTTGAGGTTGGCTCACTGACTTTCCTTCTCCCATTCTCATCTATCACTAGTCAGTTTACTCCTTCCTCCCTTTCTAACCATATCTTTTACGCAGTCCATCCATCTTTGCTTTGGGCGTTCTCTACTCTTAAATCTGTCAATTTCCGTACATACCTTCTAGTCATCTCTGTCTACCCCTCTGGGATAAAGGCCTGAGTAGTATACATTCCTAGGTAGTTAAATAGGATATTCATAAGTTGTTACATATGCATAAACGTATTGAGATATCTACTACAGCGTTGTAATATTCCTATATCCGCTGTATGGAAACATAGTCGCGCTGACGTGGGCGTGGGACGTAATGTCAACTTTGATAAGCCCCAACACATGGGATAAGGGCCGTGGAAACTTTATATCGGTTTTAATCATATCACACTAATGTGTAATTAGTAAATTTGTGTTAGAAAACGATAAATTATTAGCGATAAAACTGAGTTGTCGTGTTGTTGCCGTGGCAGAGCCATGCGGCTTCACAGTAAAACAGAGTGAATGAAATTACCGGAGCCCAAACCTCTTCTAAACTAGTTTTGACTGTAGCTCTTAGTCAGAAGTATTTCTAACCAGTATAGCAATAGTCAAAATAACTTTTAACTGATTAGAATACACACATCACGTCTTGTATCACTGAAGGAGCTCTGGAAGGGGTATTAAACGCCAGTAATTTGCCGAATATAATTTTAGTCTCACTAACTTAGTTAGTCGCACTAACTTAGTCCCTCTAAATTAGTAGGTGGCAAGCCTAATGCCGTCAACCGGCCACATTTTTAGTGATCAGTACGTAAATAATAACATCAAACTCGTGGTAGTGTTGTGTCAGATGTATACTAAAAACAACACATTGGTCATTCCTATCGTACCTAGATTAGAAGTCTAAATTTAGAATGTGCGTTGCCGCTATGACTAAAAATTTTCCTGCTCGGTCATAGTAAATATACAAATAAATATGCAGCTAGACCTTGATCTATATTAAATCTAGTGAAATATAAATACACAAAATTAATAATAAGAAAAAAAAGGCGAAGATGATTTTTAATCTGTATTCTTTTTATTATATATATCCTTAGTCTTTTTTAAGACTTTTTTGTAATTACACAAACACTCACTGGTGTGAATCATTAGGTTTATATACATTGGTGTGTTTTTTTAAATAAACAACCTCTCCACCTCCCTTAATTCTTTGGGGAAGGGTTCTCCAAAAACGCATCGTATTTGTGTCTATGGTCGGTAATACCCCAATACCATACAAAAACTATAGGTATTGATAGATGTTATTAGTTCGTGTATTAATTGTTATTTTGTCATCTTCCACAGATGTACGACAGCGATAGCGACGGTGAGAGCCTCTTCGAAAGGTTACGCGAGAGTCTCGGCCCATCCACGTCCATCAACGTCGCCTAGGAAGTGCCCGATGCCAAACCGTGAATATTGTCCACCCAACCTCGAACCCCAGGCCGAACCTACGCTACGCCATGGCAGCAATATACCGCGTCAGCTGATCCAACAACCAACTTGAAAAAAAAAAAACAATTATTATTAACAAATATTGAAATTGAAAAAGGTCTGATTTAATTAGTATATAGAATATTTACGTGTTTGGTATCAGAATATAGACTGTTGGAAACGAAACTTGTATATTTAAGTATTTGTATGTATATATTTATAATATAAGGCACTGCCATAGGAAGTGTACTGCCACTTCCAGATCCGCCTATATTGCCATCACTGTGTACCATGTGTTAGCAAATCTATGGAAGTTTGACTGTAATTGCGACTGCAATCGACAGAACAGATTTATAATATTTGCACTCATCCACCACGCCACCACCAGGCCCACCAAGTTTGGTTTCCAGCGGTCGAACCGGACACTTGGAGACTTACTGAACTGTTGACTGGTCCAGAGGTGTATGGTATGTGACTGTGACGTCACGATCGACCATTACCTTGACAACTGGTCACATATGGTTCATGAAAAGCTTTCAAGTGCGGTGTTCATTTTGAGGATAACTTGGTCTATTGTAAATATATGTCTGGAGAGATGGCTCTTGTTTCATGGGACACGTCACTGGGACCCTCGCACAATACACTTATGTTGTAAGGATTTACCCTTTATTTTGTTTCATGGGTGTAATTTATGTGTTTGAGGAATTAGGACGGTCGAATGTCGGAATAACCCAGCGGCGTGGGCCGTGGATCATCGCAGCTTGTAACACTCATGTACAGTCGCGGAAAGAATGTTGTGTATAGGTAATTATTTAAATAAATAGATCTAATTTGTAAAAATCTGTTAATTGTATAATTTATTTAGTGTCGAATAAATGTTGTTTATTGATGATGTTTTGGTTTATTTTATCACACATATACCTGGTTCACGTTCTTTCCGCGACTGAACACGACGCTGCGTTATTCATAAAACGTGGAGTTGAGGAAAATTGAATTGTTTTATGAGTCTTGCAGCTATTTTAAACAAAGTTGACATGTTCCCGAGGAAAAACTCATAATTGTTGACTGTTTTTAAAACAGTTAGGATAAGTTCAAAAGGTTCACCATAAAATATTATTGGGGTGTTCTGAATGTTTATTTTGTTGGTAAATTACCCCATTTGGGTAATATTTATAAAAAGTTTTAGTAGGAAAGTTTTCCTCCCTAAAATGATCTTATTTATATGAAGTCTTACATTAACTTTTAAATGAAAGTAAATGTGAAAGACTTTTGACAAAACTTAACGATTTGGACCACAATTAATTATCGACTTGTGGTCCGCAGTTTCTATTTTTACAGAACACCCTTAAAATTAAACATGTTTTTTTTATTTGTCATGTAGGCCAAATTATGCTAAGTGATAAAATAGTAATGTTCCACAGCGAGACGTAATGTGATGCCAAGCAACTAACCGGGGTTAATACAGAGCTTTTATCTCTTTCTCTTCAATATACTAGAGAGAGAGAGAGAGTATCAAATCAGATTTAAACACCTTATATTTTCGATGACTATTTTTCCTTTAGCTCAAAGCAACAATACATCTGGTATCGGTGAAATTATTGACGCGAGTAATCAAATAATTTTTATTTATATATTTTACAAAAATTGTTATAGCAAATACGTTAGAGCAAATATTTTTTCAGTTGCTGAACTTTTGGTCGCGTGTTAAAAAATAATGTTTTATAATAAGGGATAGATCACACACCCCCTTTAAATACATAACTGAATTTACTATTATTATATAAATTACTAGTTTAATTAACACTACTAGCTTTTAACCCCCCTTTAATCTTTCCATTTTGAATAAAAGGTTATATGTAAAATGTATCTATTAATGCTCCCGTTAAAAAGTCAAATTCCAAGAGGTCGGAGTATCCCTCAGATATTGTGCATAAGGTTGAGTAATACAACGGGCTCACAGAAAAGCTCTGCATTATTTATCGTATATATCATGGAGAGTGCTCCGAGGAATCGTTCGGACTAATACCGGCCGTAACCTTCCGCCATCGTTCCACACGGCAAAATTTTCATCCAACAATTGGATAATTGGCGCTTTTCAAGACACTTTTTGCCTCGCACAACCAATCTGTGGAACAAGTTATCGACTGCGGTATTTCCGGACCGATACGACCTTCAAACCTTCAAGAAAAGAGCGTAATCCTTCCTAAAAGGCCGGCAACGCGCTTGTGACTCCTGAGTTGCAGACGTTCATGGGCGGCTATAGTCACTTTCCATCAGGTGACCCGTCTGCTGGTTTGCCCCCTATTCTATAAAAAAAAAAAAATTTGCTTTTCATCAAGTGAGCGAGTCACTTAGTAAACAGAATTGCAATAGTTGTTACAACTACTATGTTCCTACGCAATGTTCGCAATGATTTCTTAGTTGTTATAAACTCTTTCTTTCTTCTCCTAGTCCACGAGATGCCCAACGATCCTTCCAAAGTAGAAATGACGCTGTGATATATTATTTTATTATATTTCGGAGTTTTTCTTTTTACTTAAGTGTGCAGTTGGTCTGTGGGCGAGCACGTTCAGTAACTGAAAATTGTACCTTTTAAATTCACTAGAATATAATCTTCCTACTATATAATAGACGCAGAACTTATATAGATGTTTCTTGTTATGTATAAATTATATATTACATAGTTTTAAATATAATATTCGATCTGTTATATATATATAAATATAAATATATAAACATACATACGTTTATGTTTTATTTTATTTACGTTCCCTTACGTTGTGATGTTTTTTTTTAAAGTCGTGGGACAATAATGTTCATGTTAAAATGGCTTCATTGCTTAAACTGAAAGTTAACGTTAGTTTCGTGCACACAAAAAAATGTCAAGGCAATTATTTTGGCATCAATTTTACAAAAAAAAACGACTAATTAGCGACTAAATTTTGTAGAAAACAGATCTTCGCTATGTGCCCTAGATTTTGAGATTAAAACTGGACCAAGCTGGGGAAAATTCCTAGGTCGGCCACCTATAAACCCTTTTAACTAAACCAATGACCGACAAATTCTGATATTGCACGTCAAATTTTGACAAAAATTAAAATCCCTGATGGTAGCCTAGCCAGTGTCAGCGACATATCATCTGTGAAATATGTAACATTCCTTTGTGACATCAAGGAGCGGTGTTGACGTCACCGCGTCTATTTAAGTTTTATTTTTGTCTTTTTATAACTAAAGACATCTCGCACTCGGCCGTCTGTTTTAGGTAATGCCGCCCAAATTAGGTAGGGCTGTGCTATGGTAACTAGACTGTTTATAAACATATATATAGTTAAATGTTGACTGCACGGATGGAGTAGTGGTTTAAGCGGTCGCCACGACGCTTCCTACTACGCTGAGTTTTGGCGGTCCGATCCCCACGTGGGACGACACTTTGTGTGATTCACAAATTATTGTTCTGAGTCTGGGTGTTCTTTGTGTCCGTTTCATGTGTGCTTGTAAAGTTCTAAAGACACAGGATAGATTCCTAATGCGGGAGTTGTCTTTTAAAAAAAGAAAAAGAAGGAATGTACCCATATCACCTATTATAATTTATTGATAAAGTCCTTCACAAGTTGTGTACGAATGTTTTAAGACTTAAAAAGTTTTTTTTTTTTAATAATTATAGATGTATCCACAAGCAAATTTTGTTAAAAAAGAAAAAAAATCGGTCGAGCTATCCTCAAGAGATGGTGCGTCACACATGTTTCAAATATTGAGAATAATTTATTTACGTAGATGATTAGCGACTTTGTTTTTTTATTTTGACATATGATACCTATAACTAATATTATTTAAGTTTGAGTAATATTAATTCTAACTGGAAATCACACAACACAAACGCAGTGCAAATACTCCTTATTTTGCGATATCATTTCAATGTTGTTGTATCAAATGTTATGTATTCCTTTTATTGCACATAAGTCGTACTCTCACAGTAATCTCTTAAACAAAAAGTTATCTTTATAATTACATTTTCTTATTTCTACCGTTCATACTTAGTTACTTTTCATTAAACGTGCCTAGACTACTCTTAGAAACTGCTCTAAAGTTATGATATAATGACACAGAAACATTACATTTTTCCGTATGGAAACCCCTACACACATAAAAGCAAAAAGAAATTAAGGAAAATATATTTGCAGACACTTAAGAAAACATACAGTACATCAGTAACAACTCTTATTTTTTAAATAAACGAGCTTGAAACATGTGTATTTTATGTGCCCATCGAATGGAAGCAACACTAGACTTTTTTGGAGAGGCGGTGTGTCCAAAATAGTCAGAATTAAAGTAAGTATTAGAACGAAGTTTACACACACGCTCTAAGCGGATGGGAGCGAGACCGAAAACCGTGTAACAAGACTTTTTTCCGACACTTCAGTTGGCGCTCCGACGCTCACATCTTTTTTTATATGTCATATATAAAGTAAACGTCTACCAAAAAGAGAAAAGGAACTTTGTGCCTACCGGGAGTCCATAGACCCCTCACTCCGTTTTTTTATTAATTTACTTCTCAGCAGCACTATCGTTACAGGCTTACCCTAATATGACACTGTGGTCCTTAATTACTATAGCATATAATAAACATGGTTACTTTTTTGAACTCAATCAGAGAAAAAGAAAAAAATCTAAATTTTCTGCCACCTTGTTTATCGTAATTAGAGTCCTCGTTAGGGGAGCTTTGTTCAACCACACAGTGTGATATACTGCGCCTAAAATAGAAATGAGTCTGAGAACGACTGTTATTAACACATGTTGTTCCCCCTCCAAGCGCAAGGGATAAACTCCTATCTTGGTGAACAATGTCCAGGCACACGCACAAGAAGCTAAAACAGTTAAATGAGATAAAGAAAATAAACAGAAAGAATATTTTATCACATTGCAACTGTTTCATTTAGACAACATGAAAACGCCATACG